GGCAGTCTATGGAGCCATGGAATAAAACAATAAAAAAAGGTCAATTTGATTTTATATTTCAAAATTCTGACTTTATTCTCGCAATTCCAAGATTATATCTCACAATTCTAATAAGGAAAAACAACTCGTCATTCTCTCTTTTCCCCTCGGCTCTTCTGGCTTTTTTCCTCAGATTTGACAAACTCACTATTTTTGAGTTAAGTCAAGTTATAAAGTCCGAATTAGGAGATATAAACTTGCATTTGCGAGAAAAAAAGTCAGAATTGTGAGATAAAATAAATAAATGTTATGTAAAAATGTTAATAGTAAGATTTAAATAATATTTCTAATAGTAAGGCTTAAATAATATTTCATGCTGTAACTGTAGGGCTAATACAATACGTCCCCTATGAACAGCATATGTGAATATTATGTAGACCTATTGTTTAAATCGAATTTATGCTTTAAAAGTAGAGTAACCATAACAGTTTTCATCCATCGTATGTCCATTTAAACGTCTGCGTTTAGCTTCAAATGGCGTCTTTGACGACAGTATTCTATAAAAATTATTTGCATTCCGATCTTGACATCAAAAGGCACAAAAATATTTTTTTATTTTATTCCATGGATTTTACCCATTTATCTCCACTTGTTCCCAGTGTTTTTCTGCAACCACAATGCGCGCGCAGCTGCAAGTGACGTAACTGTGACGTCTACTCTGAATTCGTCTATATAAGAAGACATAAAAACTCACCAAAACATTTTGACTTTTTTTTTTGTGTGTGTATGTGTATTTATCTAAGCACACACATCGCATGTACAGTAAGCCGCCTAGGGGACAGTGTCTCTTTTGCAGCCAAGTACACGTTTAACTCTTTTTAGTATTGGGCACGTTCGGCAGGAGACTGTATATTACGACAGCTTTGACTGATTTTTATGTTATGTTGGAAGGATGACAGAATGCGGCACTGCATTTTTATAATCATTGGATGCCAAAATCAAAAACAAAACTAAAATTCTACTAATCGCACAGCCCCAGTGTCGGCTCACTGCATTTTTTTTTTTTCAATGGAGAAAATATATCTGATTTTTACTTCCAGAATTCTGTAACGGTACCAAAATGTCAGTAGTCGTAGCAGTAAAATTCCACAGTTCTCAGTACCAATTTCTGTACCACGACAAAAACTATTGTCTGTATTCTATTTTAATATTTTTTAACTACTTGAAAATAAAAATATTAAATAAATAAAATTAGTTAATTATTCATTATATGAATAATTATATGTAAATAATACATTAAAACATTAGCATGTATCCTTCAAATACTGTTCAATTATGTAATTAAAAAGATCAAATGAAAGTAATAAAAAAACAAAAACACATTACAGGTAACAGAACAGGTGTCAGGTCTATTGCACTTACACTTCAAGACTTAATGCACAGATCTATTCTTACACATCAGATTGGTTTTGTCCCATCACTGCTGTGGTTATCACTGTCAAACATTGCAATTTCAGATCATCGCTCCTGAAACTTTGCATGAATAATAAAACTTTTATTCAATTTATGAATAGGTTACATACAGAAATCGAGCAACACTCCCCTTATAATCAATGAAACTGATATTACTTCAGATCAGCCGCAGCTCACGCTCACCGACTGAGTTAAAAATCCTCTTATGATCAAACAATCTTTCTACTGGTACTGCGGAAAGGCTGGTATTTTTACGTTTTTTTAAATTTAAGCATCAATCTACTGATATACTCGTACTTTTGACAACGATACTGTCTGTTGTCTATCTACTGCAACCCTAATTTGACACTAACTCACCCTTAAATGTTGAAGTATGAATGTAATGCCAGCCAGTCAGACGGTGTGTTTCTGTGTAAGTGGGCGGTTTTTGCACAAAATAAGCTGCAAAGTGGACCAGACTTTATGCTGACAGTCACATCATCAGTGACCCCAAAACAAGCCGAACCCCATCCAGAGCCTTGACCCTCAGGTGAGCAGCTGTCTTCACGGAGGCCACTAGTTCAAAAACAGATCGCAGGACTGTGAGGAGGCTGGCATCAGATGAAAGTAATTACCAGGGATAAATATACTGAGAGGTGGGGGATTACAAACGGACACGGGGACTAACTTTAGTGTTCTGAGCTGCCGGAACGGTGACACTTCGTCCAGTGTTAGCATACAGCAAACAAACAACTTCTAAAAGCACCTCATCCAGCGTTTGTGAACACATCTACCCTGTTTTAAAAGTAAACTGTCTATAAAATGGCCAGGTCGTATTTTACCACAAAGTCAAAATACAAAAGCAATGCAAAAAACAAAAACAAAACAAAAAAACAATTAGACAGATTTAAGCACATTAATAACAAGTAAGCATATTCCTAGTTTCTCTGCATCGCGGTATTTACTTTAATAATGCTGATTTAAATTTACAAATCCTTGTATTTTCATAATGTCAGTCCTGTGTCTTGTGTTTTCCTCCCCCACGTGCTCCATGTCCCAGTTGTCCCATGTTGATTGTTTCCAATTTGATTCCAGGTGTGTCTCGTCTTCCCCTGATTAAGTTGTATATAAATTGTGTTCTGCCCCTTGTTTCTCGTCCGGTATTGAATGTCATCTTTCCCCGTTACGTGTGTGTCATTAAAGTCTCTTTGTTTGAAGTATACTCCACGTCTCCTCGTTCCCCGCTTCGTTGACCTCCCAGACACCACAGGACTAAGCTGGAGGGACGGGATCCCCCGGTGTCTGGAGCGTTTCCGGCCCTTATCCAGAACCAGCCCGCAGTCAAGCCCGCTGACCATTCCTCAGTCAAGCCCGCCGGCCGCGCCGTTCACCCTTAACCAAAGGAGGAGGATGAGGAGGAAAAGACTGTTCTCAGCCCTCATCCTAGCCCCTGAGCCTGCACCAGTGTCAGCTCTAACCCCTGAGCCAGCTCCAGTGTTGGCTCCAGCCCCTGAGCCAGCACCAGTGTCAGCTCTAACCCCTGAGCCAGCTCCAGTGTCAGCTCTAACCCCTGAGCCAGCTCCAGTGTCGGCTCCAGCCCCTGAGCCAGCTCCAGTGTCGGCTCCAGCCCCTGAGCCAGCTCCAGTGTTGGCTCCAGTCCCCGAGTTTAGCCCAGAGAGGGCTCCAGTCCCCGGGTTTAGCCCAGAGAGGGTTCCAGTCCCCGAGTTTAGCCCAGAGAGGGCTCCAGTCCCCGGGTTTAGCCCAGAGAGGGTTCCAGTCCCCGAGTTTAGCCCAGAGAGGGCTCCTGTGCCCAAGTCTAGCCCAGAGAGGGCTCCAGTTCCCACATCCAGCCCAAAGAGGGCTCCAGTCCCCAAGTCAAGCCCAGGGAGAGCCACAGTACCCGAGTCAGGCCCATGGAGGGCCTTAGGGTTTGATATTTTCCCCAAGTATTTTGGGGGGGGGGTTATAGGGCTCCGGCCGTAGAGGCTGGGCCGAGTGCCGAGTCCAAGGCCACGGAGACCGATCAGCCATTGCCTCCCGAGTTCCCTGCTCTGCCAAGGCTTCCTAGTCTGTCTGCTCCACCATGGCACCCTGAACTGCCTGATCCGCCATGGGTCCCGGAATGGGTACCGCTCTGGAGGCCTGCCATCCAGTGTAAGCCAGTCCTGAGGGGCTTCCTGAGTGCCCACCCCCCGCTCCCCATTGGATGTTGTGTGGTGCGTGGACGCGCCTTCGGGGAGGGGGGAGTAACATAAAGTGTGTTCTGGCCCTTGTTTCTCATCCAGTATTGAATGCCATCTTTACCCGTTACGTGTGTGTTCCTGGTTCCCTTGATGTCACTAAAGTCTCTTTGTTTGAAGTATACTCCACGTCTCCTCGTTCCTCGCTCCGCCCTTCCTCACAGTAGCGAACATGACACATAACTTATCCAGCAATTTTTATACTATAATACTAACACATTATGTGTAATACTTCACAAATGTAAAATATCCAACCCATACAGCAAAAAATAGATTTTCAAATAGATTTTTTTAAATATATTAAACTACACAAAGAAATGAAAAAAATATATTTGCCAAAATATGTTTCAAAATATATTTACAGAATATATTTATATATTTATAATATACAGGTTATATTTTTATTTTCTAAAATTTATATATATATTTTTTAAAAAGTATATTTTGCCCAAAATATTCATTCATTCATTCCTGCCATATGGAAGTGCTTAATTTTCACTGGGTAACATAAGAAAATTACTCAAAATTTAAATCATAATCCAGCATTTTATCAAGACTTTTCTTATTGGCAGTGTTTGCTAATTCAAGCATTACCAGTCCAGCACTATTGTTCATAGTTAGTAACTTGAACAATCCCCTAAACCTAACTTGATAAATGGTGGTGTGTAACATCCAGAAAGACCTCTGAGTGTCAGAAATGTTTCAGTAGAACAAAGCCTCTCTGTTTTCTAAAAATACTCCATCAAATAAAAGAGCTTGATACGGAGCAGTTCACTGCGCTATAATACGACCTACAATTACTCAGCTGCCAAATGTCCTGCATGAACCTTGCTTACTGAGAAACTGGGCCAGTGAAGAAGATGTGTGGAAGGCATGTGTGATTGGAGAGAGGCCTGTGATACTATGATAGTCATCTAGAATGTGATAAACCGTGTATGGTATTTAAGTGTTTAAACCGCTCCGGGGTCAATGAGGTTACACAACAACACAGTCTGAGAGAAGAAGAATTAGCTTGCATAGGAAACACTCACTCGGCTGCTGCGGTCGTTCGGGCCAGTGTTGGGCTGAGCCGTGGCCCTGTGACCCCCGTGACCCCTGTGACCGAAGTGGTCAGAGAAACCCCCCATCATCTGCTGCATGCGCTCATGATGCAGCTGGAACGGGTCGCTAAAGGAGAAGATCAGAAAACAATACGATGGATAACAAACATTATTGTGTTTGTAATATAGCTCTGATTGTTAGTGACAGTGCTTCTCAACCAGTGATTCTGTTCGGATGAGTTGACATGAACAAAACTACACAAGACACAATAAAGAAAAATATGACCCAGACTACATTAAATACAGATTGGCTTGTGGTGAGGATAAGCATGATTTGTGTGTGTTGGGAATCATCTCAATCAGTCTGTGTCATGCTCATAGTTTTCCATACTGTTGGGCCAGTGTAGTTCATGTTAATGTTATACACTTTAAGGACATTTTGTTACTTTTGTATGATAAACAGTGGCTGTGTTGAACAGCTGAGAAGCACTGCTCTGCATGCATTGAGAACAGCAGAAGTGCCTACCTTGATGAGCAACTTAAGAACAGAAAGAAGAGAGACAAGAAACGTCATTACACTTTCTAAATGACAGCATAACATGAAGAAGCACACTGACCAGTGCATTCATCTCTACAGTTAGTGACTATACAGTGATGAAGACTCTGAGTGAAAGCTGACACTCATGCATGAAAGTTCAAACAGCCCAATACTTTACATGTGCCACCATCTGAAAGCTGCATAAATAATCTTTCCATTGATGTATGGTTTGTTAGGATAGGACAATATTTGGCTGAGATACAACTATTTGGAAATCTGGAAAAAAATCTAAATATGGAGAAAATCATCTTTAAAGTTGTCTAAATGAAGTTCTTAGCAATGCATATTACTAATCAAAAATTAAGTTTGGATATATTTACGGTAGGGAATGTACAAAATATCTTCATGGAACATGATCTTTACTTAATATCCTAATGATTTTTGGCATAAAAGAAAAATCAATAATTTTGACCCATACAATGTATTGTTGGCTATTGCTACAAATATACGCCAGCGACTTAAGACTGCTTTTGTGCTCCAGGGACACATATGTGAGTCTGCATGGACATGATTAAGAGCTTGTGCAGTAACACAGCAAGTGAACATAAATCAATAAATGCAATAACAATAAATTAGATTTATTTATTGCACTAATAACATAGCAAACAGTGTTGAAGACTTACAATCCCGTATGGAAACGCAATATATGACATAATATTGCCCTCAAGTGTACCGATATACCTATATATCGATATATAATTTTCACAGATGTACATTCTCAATTTTATTAAAACAAAAAATATATACAAAAATCTTTGTGTTTTGTTTATTTATCTAATTTAAAAAGAAAACGTATGTTTATATTTACTTATAACATAATATCAACATGTATCGATGGATTTTAGGATGAATATACATGTACATGTGCGAAAATAATATACCATTTGTAGAGGCTAGATGTTAATATATGAAATTGTTTCAATTTTTAATAAGTTTCAAGTAGGCATATGTTTTTACTTCATATATTTCATGTTAATTTAACAGGCATTTGCGTATGGGATGTCGGTTAACGAAACCAAATTAATAATAATAATATAAATTAAAAATACCACAGAATAAAATGAAATACTAATGAAATAAAACCTTAATATGCTTTGAATCATAACATTTTGAAATATGACGCACTAAAGGTAATTTACAATAAGGCTGTTTAATAAGGCTAGTTTAATAAGGCTGTCTTCTGAGCGTTCTGCAGTTAGTTTAGTGTAAAAGTGTGTGAGACTCACGCAAAGAAGGGCTCGTCTTGCTGCTGTCTGAGCATCGCGCTGCGCTTCTGAAGGACGCACGCGCTGCAGTTACTGTCGGAACCCCACACAGAGTGCACACGTGACCAGCTTTGAGCGTTTTGATTGGCTGAACACTGACGCGTTGGCCCCGCCTCTCGTGTGCAGGTGTGGTGTACTGTGTTGTCATGGAAAGTGTTCTCGTTATCTAGAAACTTCCACATGTTTATCTCACATTTATTCCAGCATTCTGTGTTCACTGTCACTGCAATATGCGCAGTGGTTTCTCCAGCATACAGTTTTACTGTTATACTTTCACTGTGCAGCGTAGTTTAGCCTGTGTGTGTATAAGCTATCAGAATGTCAGAGATACTGTATACTGTAACTGATCTGTAAAGGCACCGTTCAGACAAAGTGCTCATGAAATAGAGTTATAACATTATATCTGTCAGTGTTGGGAAGGTTAGTTTGGAAATATAATAATAGTAGGGTGACCATACGTGCCATTTTCCCAGGACGCATCCTGGCCAGGATTTCTATATTGCCTAAAATATCAAATATATGACATCAAAATACCTCGAGAGCATTTTGAAAGCATAAGGAACCGTCTGTATGGTATTTTGATGTCATACACCGATCGGTCTGCACACGCAAACAAAGCCAAAACCTGCCAGGACGCGTCCTGGGAAAATGGCACGTATGGTCACCCTAAATAATAGCCTATAGGTTACAGATGACAAGTTACCCTATTTAAAGTGTAATAAGTATAGTGTCACTATTTCAATTACTTTATTAAAGTAAAGTAACTGATTACATTTGATTACTTTTCTAAATGTCTAATGTTTTCAATTGTTGATCATTTTGAAAGATTTAAAGCAGGCAGATTAACTTTACAGTAGAGCTCAACACTGATTACTGTCACTTTCGAAATCCTTCATCACTTGAATTAAGATTTTAATAATTTAATTTTAAAGCACAGCCACCACAAAATCCATTTTGCATCAAGAGAATGGAGGTGTGTAAATTTTTCTTATTTTGCCTAAATATCATATTTTTTTCATTTATTGCTGCCCTTCAGAGGCTACAGAAGATAGTTGCATGTTTACCAGAAGACAAAATAAATGGTAAAAGACAGTGTTGGGAAGGTTACTTTGGAAATGTAATAGGTTACAGATTACAAGTTACCCTATCTGAAATGAAAGTAGTGTAATTTCAATTATTTTATTAAAGTAATGTCACTGATTACATTTGATTACTTTTCTACATTTCTAATGTTTTCAACTGTTAATCATTTTCAGACATGTAAACCAGGCAGGGTTAACCTTACAGTAGAGCTCAACACTGATTACTGTCACTTTCGAAATCCTTCATCACTTCAATTAAGATTATAATGATTTATTTTTAATGCACAATACGGAAGGCACAGCCACCACAAAATCAGAACTTACTTTGAGATCATTCTGGGGTTAAATACAGGTCATGAAATCATTCTGGGGTTAAATACAGGTCGTACAATCATTCAAATCATAACAAGTAGCTTAATAGCTATGATACTGTTTTAAAAATCGAATCTTTGCATAGCTATGACAGGAAACACTGGCATCTAACAATGTCTTTAGGGGAACGGGGGGGGGGAACAGTTAATCTTAAAAAATAAAGCATACGTAAGCCCAAAAAGGAAATAAAATAATTATTGAATAAGCATGCATCTTATTCTGTGTCCTAATCTCCTGAAACATTGGTGTCTCATATTTTAGAGCAGTCAATGCCATTTATGAAAGAAATCAATTAAATCTGTATGTGTGTGAAAAAAAAGGTTTAACCCCCCCCCGTAATTATTAATATTTTCATAAGTATTTATGATTTAATTACACATTTTTTCACAGTAACTGTAATTGATTACAGTTGTATTTTGCAATTCAATTACGTAATTTAACTAGTTACTCCCCAACACTGATATCTGTACAGAAACCGCACTAGATGCAGTGTCCAACAGAAGAAGAGTGCAGGGTCTCTCTGTTATCAGTCCACTGAAGGAGGTGTGTGTAAGAACATCCAGCAGAGACCCGATACTCCAGAATCTGTCACACACACTCCCTCAACATTCTGTCAATACAAGATCCAACATCTACACTCAAACATGCTGCATTCCTGTGTGTGTGTGTGTGTGTGTGTGTGTGTGTGTGTGTGTTCTTTGATGAGGTTACCTGCCCGCTTCTTTACTCTGGAGTTGTACAAGTTTTGAAGATTGGGCAGGTGGACCAATGATCATTTCTGCTGTCTTCTTATATCTGATTTGCTGGCTGACCCAAACCAGACAGTTATAGAGGAGCACAGAACCGACTCAATAACAGCTGAGTAAAACTGTCATATGCGCCTGTGGCCGGTTGAACTTTTTCAGTTGACGAAGCATGTGACTTCCATGCACAGAATCATTTAAGAGATTCTATGAAAAGGGATACTGTGTTAGTGCATCTAAGCAAGTAAAGAGAATGCAAGCAAACATATGCTGTAACGCTTCTGTCACAGTCAGAGACAGTTTTTTTATTTTTTTTTTAAGGTAATGTCAGCAAACATCATTCACCCTAAACAGAATCTGGTCCCTGAAGGATTTAGTGCTAGTTTTGTTTGCATACATGTATATCTCCATGACTCACATGCTGTGTGCTGAAATTCTATGCCAGCGCTGTGAACCGCCTGATCTTTCTATTTTTAGCTCTGTTGATTAATAGAGTGATCACAGATAGGCATTATTGAGCTGGACAGACTCTGGCTCATAGTAACACTGATTCTAACAGCAGATAATGGCTTCAGCAAACACACTGTGTACTTTCCAGCACCTTCAGCACAAGTGTGCTCACTGTGTTCAGGAGAACAGGGCCATCTAGTGCCTCTAGACTGGAATTATAACTGTTAAAGTGTTAGTCTGTGTGCTCCAGCTTCTTAGTGATCAGCTGAAAATTATGTTTTGAATCGAAAACCTCATTCTGAAGACCCCTGTTTGCGTTCCCCCTTTTTATGTTGGTCACAATATGTAGATTATATGAATACATTTTTTTTTTTAAATAATATAATGCATTGTTTAAAATTCAAGGTTTCCCCCCACTTTTTCCAGCTGTCAATTTAATAAACTTTCTGCCTCAACAGAAAACACTGTTCGCAGGAAGAGGAGACTGTAAGGGCAAGATTACTGGAAAGGAAATTAAAACTGCTGTGGTTTCTGATAATGAAGCAGACTTTATGACAGTAAAAATAACCCTGTCAGTGTTGATCTAACACTGATGTATGTATTTCATGAACTGATACACAAGGCTTTTTCACATTTTACTTTTTAGCAGTTCAGTTGCAAGACAAAGAGTAATGTGTGGTACTGGTAAGATGATTTTATTTCATTTCATTATTTCTGGTTCAAGACGATTGGATTCATCTGAAAGAAGAATGTCATATACACATAGGATGGCTTGAGGGTGAGTAAATCATGGGGTAATTTAAATTTTTGGGTGAATTATCCCTTTAAAGGCAATTTTCTCAATATTTAGATTTTTTTGCACCCTCAGATTATATCTCAGCCAAATATTGTCCTATCCTAACAAACCATACAACAATGGAAAGCTTATTACTAGCTTATGACTGGTTTTGTGGTCCAGGGTCACACACACATATATATATATATATATATATATATTTAAAAATTCCAGATGCTTACATCTTTCTGTACAAAAAAATTACAGTTATTTTATTATTATTAAAAATATATATATTACAAAATGAATTTTTGGAAAGTATGAGGAGAAAGCTGTTAATGACAAGCTAAATCCTGGTTGGTGTTGCAGTTAGGGTTAGGGGTCTGTCACACAGTGGGCTCTGTTTGGCATCTCTATTTTGGTGGAGGTCTCTGTCAGAGAGGCGTGAGGGAGCGGATGCCGGCTCAGCGCGGCTGTGAGCTTTCTGCGGAAGACTCGACACAGGAAAACATAAATGAGAGGGTCCAGGCACACGTTAGTAGATGATAACCAGAGCGTGATCTCTTTGGCATAGTACAGCTGGTTTTGGGCCCAGCACTGGGCAGAAGTGTTGCGGGTCTGACTGAGAGTGTAAGGGACTCGGGCCAGGTGGAAGGGAGCAAAGCAAACGAAGAAAACACCCACAACCACAAACACCTGTGGAGGAGAGGAGAGTTTAGCATTGGTTAACACACTGTACACCAGAAACCAGAGCTTGTCAAATCAAGAATTTAATGCAATTCAACTACAGTGAAGCCGTATCTGGACCGTCTGAAACAGTTTGTGGCTTGTACAGATTATTCACTCAAAACTCACTTTCGGACATCTGACAGTTACTCTCACCGTAAATCAGCCAAACCCTGGACCTTAAGTATCATTCATCTTCAAGAATCGGCTAAAAACACATCTCTTCCATTTTTATTTGGCCCTCTAACTCTAGCGCTCTCTATTCTAATTCTATTCTTTAAAAAAAAAAAGAAAAGAAAAACTTGTCCCGTTGCACTCTATTCATTTACTAACTTTTAAGCCAAAAATCATTAGGATATTAAATAAATATTTTGTAAATTTCCTACCGTAAATATATCAAAACTTAATGTTTGATTAGTAATATGCATTGCTAAGAACTTCATTTGAACAACTTTAAAGATGATTTTCTCAATATTTAGATTTTTTTGCACCCTCAGATTCCAGATTTTCAAATAGTTGTATCTCAGCCAAATATTGTTCTATCCTAACAAACCATACATCAATGGAAAGCATGTATAAATCTCAATAAAAAAAGGACTCTTATGACTGGTATTGTGCTCCAGGGTCACATATATGATCCTATGATAAATGAACTGATTCAGCGCTGCACTTCCTTCCGTCACTGAACTGAGAAAACTGATATGCACAAACATGAACCGAACACTTGAATGAAGGGGCCAAATGAACATTTTTATGGTTTCTCATTTTGTGTAAAAATGTGAGTTGATTAAAGGGGTCATGAAATGCATTTTATATATACACACACACACACACACACACACAACAGTCAACATTTGAGCGGTGAGTGAATTCTGAACAACTTGAACACAATGGCTAATCTTGTGTTTGAGAAATCAAGAGAAGTGCCTGTGACTGGCTACCTTGCTCGATGCTATAAAAAGAAACTTTGGCACTCTCCAGAGTGCAAACACAAGTGAGCAGTTGAGTGTTTGCCAACTCTGTTATGCCAGTATGCTATTATTACAGTTCCAAATGAGGGTTTTCTTGCTTTCGTTTGAGGGGGCTTTTTTCACTGTGTGAGAAAATAGACATGTGGCGTGAAAGCATGAGAACAGTGTCAACTGCATGAGTCTCATGCTGAATGTGTTGGTATAGCCCTGGTACACCACTGTGCCACAAAGAAATCTGTACACAAGCTTTTACATATTACACTGATCTCAGGTCATAATGCTCATGAAATTAAGCTTCCGATTTTTATATTATGTTTCTCAAGCTTAGTTTTTAGAAAGCTATGGAATACATATAATAATGTTGTATGCATAGTTTGTTGCACAGACCAATTGTTTCACTTCATAAGACCTCAACATATCATCAGGATCTACGGGTATTAATTTGGTGTTGCCTGATATGCTTCTTTTGAGAACCAAATGAACCATGCCAGAAGCTGAGACAGAATTTGGCATGTCAGCTGTACAGACAAACATAATTAGTTATTGTTTTTTTTAAAGTTCTTTCACACTCTTCTTTTTCTTCCATTCCAGATAAACCAGAACCCAAACTGCATGTAAAAACTAATCAAATTACAGCTGATTGTTTTACATGCCAGCCTCTTCCTGTCTAAGGAGGCACTTCTTGGCTAATGACATGCATAAGGCTGATTCTGCACAGCTGGAACATGTATGTTTGAATTTGAAAACTGTAGGCAAAAAACACCCAGATGACCTACTACTTGCCAGTTGCTTAAGTGTGCATTCAATGGACACTTTACCATCCCAAGAGGCTACAGGAGACTATTTGTGAATGGCAGTGAAGCAACACAACTGATGCTGATAGGTCACATAACAGTGACATGGTAAATAGCTGCATTACCATAATTCCAAGATGACAACATTTGCATGCCATACCACTCCCTGCACATATTTAAGATGGCAGTGTGCATCTACTCATTCAGATTTGTTCTAAGGAGCTGAGAATGCATCATGGCCATCCAGCGGTTGTTCAAGGTTGTGGCAGGAGGGATGTAAAATCTCCTAAAATCTCATATGTGTAAAATCAGTTAGGTGTAGCCCAGCCTGCAGCTCTACAACTGTCTATCAGAGAGGCACCATGTGCAGTGCCCAGGAGGCAGCAACACTCCGAGTGTAATGAGCTCTCTCACTCAGGGGTACGGCTCGAGTTGCATATGGTATGCCAGCGTGATGGCATCCACTAGCCAGTGGGCCAACCGCTTTTTGGAGACAGCCAATGTTCCCTCTAAGCACTAATGTTCACTTCTTACGAAGAAATAATATTCCACGCACAGGACAGATGCAAAATCTAGTAAATGCGAAATAATTGCAATGCTCGGGCAAACCACTATAGAGTTGGTGCTGCTGTAGAGTTAGAACCGGTGAATGTGGTGTACAGGTTTCATAGAAAGTGAATGATGTTAACCAAGAATCGAATACTTTAATGGTTGAGGACAAAATAACTCAACACAAGAGGCAAGGCAAACGCAATGATGTGAAATAAAACGTCATCATATTTTCAAGAAAATTGACGTTATTAAGTGGTGGAAATAACAGATAATGGGAGGAACTGACTTGAGAAATGTTTCAATGGTATTTTCTTTTCCTTTTGCCTCTATATAAAGCACATTAAAGTAGCGTTTATAAGCGCAGCTGCTTTGTTTACTGCAGTAACCAAGGAAACACTGTATCACTGCTGTTCCATAAGCACCACCTGCTGTCAGAGGAGAAATTTGCATTTTAATTCAACCCTTCTGCTGTGTGTGTGTGTGTGTGTGTGTGTATGCATGCAGGTGTCTTATGTACCATACTTTTTCTAAAGTCAGACCCTTCTATTTTTGCTTAAAATCTTTAAATTATAAAGTCTAATTCAAATAAAAAACAATGCCCCGGGACACCACGGACCCTGGGTGCACCCGCAGCGGAAGATGCGAGCCAGGCCACGGGCGATGACCTCTCCCCCTCCGGTCTTCGAGATCTCCACCCGGAACTGCTTCACTCCCCTCTGTGAGACGGAACGCGACGGTTTGCAGATTTCCTCTCAGAACTATTGGTTACTGTTGATAAAGCGCTAATTGTCGGAGATTTTAACATTCACATTGATAATACAAATGATGCATTAGGACTTGCGTTTACTGACCTAATAAACTATTTTGGAGTCAAACAAACCGTCACTGGGCCCACTCATCATTTTAATCATACGCTAGATTTAATTATATCGCATGGAATTGATCTTACTGATATAGATATCGTACCTCAAATTGATGCTGTTACTGACCATTTCCTTGTATCGTGTATGCTGCGTATTACTGATATTAACTATATGGCTCCGCATTATCGTCTGGGCAGAACTATTGTTCCAGCCACCAAAGACAGATTCACAAATAACCTGCCTGATTTATCTCAACTGCTCTGTGTACCAATAAGTACACATGAACTAGACGAAATTCTTTCAGTAATTTAGTGGGTACAGGATCTAACAGGCATGTTGTTGGTTTAGATGCAGTGATAAATTTATTTAGCTCTTCCTGTCCTATAGTTGTAAAGCACTGCAGTTTATCTTTTGCTGCGATGAATGAAGCTGAAGTGTTATCATCTTGGAATTACAGTAATTATAATATAACATGAATGCAGCTAATGGAACACATCTGAATTTTATCCATACTACCAGGGCTTGACAATAAAACCCACCAACACGTCAAAAGCATGTGGATTTCATCGGCGGCGTGTAACACGGTCACTCTCACTAGCCAAACAAAGATCACAGCTGAACAACTGTGCATCTCTGAGCAACACATATCACCATTTCATTACTGAACGATTCAGGGTATTTGAATGATTAGGGTGAGTCAATGATTCAATAACCCATTCATAAAGACAGGCACTTGCTTCATTCTTGAATGAATCAGCATCTGAATTAATTGTTTGAATGAATGGCTCAATGACTCACTTGCTGCTGCCTACTGGCGGTTCACTTTCATATTTAAGAGTAGCTATCATATTTTTATATGATATTTTATATATATTTATATCATATATTTAAAAGTAGTATCATTGCATTTTTTTTTACAGCGTTTCATATTTGCATATTTAAAACTGATTTAAAGCACTAAGCTCATAACATTATTTATGCAGTTGTTATTTTATATTTATTTGTTATTTTATCAGTTGTTATAGCGTAAATGCATTCATTCCACATTTCAGCTTCATTAAACTGTCTGCATAAATGCATCTAAATGCCAATTCAGGTACTTCTGTTTCTTCCGCAGATCTATTTTGTCAATACCGATTTCATTTGATTGGTATCAGCCCTATAGTGTCTTATTATATTAAGTCAAATCATTAATAAAATCTAAGAATTTGATATGAAAGATGATGCATACATTTAATAAGGTTAGGGGAAATATGCCCTTTATATAGACAAAAAATGACCTGCAAATCAGTATAAGTACATTTTAGTATGCAGTAACTTTAATCATATAAAGCATAATTTCCCAACAACAACATTGTGGCCAGTGAAAATGCTGAGTGGCTAGTAATTTTGGAAAACCACTAGCCACAGTGGCTGGTGAGCAACAAAAGTTAATGTCAAGCCCTGCATACTGCTAAATAGAATGTTTGGTAACACTTTAATATAGGGTCCAATTCTAACTATTAACTAGTTGCTTATTAGCATGCCTATTATTAACATATTGGCTGTTTATTCGTACTTATAAAGCACATATTCTGCATGACCATATTCTGCATTCTTAATTCTGCCCAATACCTACCTTACTGACTATTAATACGCAAAAAATTAGGAGTTTATTGAGGCAAAAGACATAGTTAATGGTTTGTTAATAATGAGAATTTAACCTTAAAATAAAGTGTGACCAAATGTTTATTTTTTGTATTTATTTATTTATTTATTTATTTTTCCGTTGTTTGTTTCAAACCAAATTTTGTATTTTGTATGCAGCTCATGTCTCCATTAATCTTCATCATTTCCCTGAATTAGAGTTTCCCGCCCCAGTTCCTGGAGGCAGACCAACAGCAACATTTCTGAACTTGACGCTTTAGTTTTAACTCAAATCTAAGACCTGAAATGGATGAGTCAGATAAGGCAGACATCCAAAATGTGTAGTGTTGGTGTGATTATCTCCCATTACCTGCATCTTTACAGAATGTCAATGTTTGCACTCTCAGGGGTGCATAGAGAGGTAACAGAAAGTGCACTATACCTTAGATGTGGTCTGTTTGCTGGCTGTGTCACTGCTGCTTTGTGACGCACGGTACGATTCAAACACTTTCCTACTGATGAAGGTGTAGCAGACGACCATAAGTGCTAATGTACCCCAAAAAACAACCTGGCAGAAGTAATTAAAGCCTTCATGCCACAGGAGTCCCATCTTCCCCTTCATCTTGGTGCATCGCAGCTTAGCACCAGAGGAAATCTGTGGCATGTGGTTACTTAGGATAACGTTCGGCAGAGCCAGTGACAACATAACCACCCAGACAACTGCGCACAGTATCCGACCTACTCTGACCCTCTGAAGAGCGCATTTTCCAAACGGATGCACAATCTTTAGGTACCGGTCCAAGCTGATGAGTCCGAGGAGGAGGATGCTGATGTACATAGTGGTATAGAAGAGCACAGCTGAGTACCGGCAATGAAAAGCCCGGAGCTGCCAGGAACCCAAGCCCGCATCGGTCAGTGCCTTCACAGGCACAGTAAGGGTCATCAATAGATCGGCCACGACTACATTCTTCAGGTACACGACAAAGGTTGAGGTGCTTCGGATTTGGAAGAAAATCCATGCGGCCAGACTGTTCAACACAAAAGCCACCAGAAAGAGAGCCGCGTACAGGCAAGGGAAGAGTACAGACGTTACTCTAGTGTCCCTCTCGCACTTGAGTGAAGCATTCACCTGACTCGTGTTCATCTTGATGCCTGGAGGAAGAACGTCAATACAGCTGAATGCAGTATTGGAACATACTTGAACAGTTTATCCACATACAGCTACGAACAGCACAACTACATCGATATAATAGAAAACAATGTATGTTCAATGGGAAAATGATCATTGAATGTTCATGAGTTATGATGAACACACCAATGCACTTTACAAAGAATCTCCCGTTCTGTTTAATTCTATTGAAAAACAATTGCTAAAGCAAATAGAAGAAACCAGAAATAACAAAACCAAAGTATGCTTATAAATAATGACAATTAATTTTGACACATTGCAATTCATTTAGAGAGAAAGTGGAAACAAATACATTTATTACAATTACATATATGCATGCAAGAACAAACACTCACCAGGAAAAGTGTTTTAGAGACTCGTGAGAACAGCTAAAAGAGGAATTAATAAATGGCTTAACACTTTCCGGCAGCTGTATCCACAGTGCAGTATGTGCTTCTGTGTAACCACACACACACACACAGAGAGAGAGAGAGAGAGAGAGAGAGACTTTGTGACTTAGTTTGGACATACCATATAGTTCTATTGACTTTATATAAAGATAATTATAATTACCACAGTCTAAACCCCACCTTAACTCTAACCACCCAAAAAAATGTTATATATGGTAAAATATATTTATAAATTGTTGTCTATTTGCTAACAATATTTGCATTTATTTGTTCCTGTTTTGTTTTTTTTTATTATTGAGGACGTCCCTGGATGTCCCCCAAGAGAGGTTTCTGTCATATTTAGCTCAGTGCTGGGGACAATTCCCTAAATGTTTGCTAAGTATGCACACAAACAGATGCACGCTTTTGCACATGTACACACACACACATGCACACACACACACACACACACACACACACACACACACACACACACACACGCACGCG